GTTACCTGTGCTACCTGGATTCAAGCTAGCTTGGGTAGGCTAGCCCATGCGCAGCTTCTACTGCATAGACGTACCCTTTCAGATAGCCGCTATGAATAAATAAAGCCCTTACATAATTAAATATCACTACATTTATTTTTAGACATTTTCATTAAATGTTACTTATGTAGCACTGTAAATAAACATAGCACTTAAAAAAGCTAGATTAAAATAATCCCTGTACCAAAGATGATACTAAAGAACATGGACAAGAAAAAGATAAGATGTGATATTGGTCAGTGATTCTGGAAAGGGTAGATTATGAAGAGATTTGGGGAGGAGGAGAAGGCAGAGGGGGTATTTCTGGGCTTCTGAGGAAAAATTTGTAATGGGAGAATTCTTGGTAGACAAGAAATTTGAGGTAGTTTCAGGCATAGGAAGCAATATGACAGAAGATACAAAGTTGGAAGTGCAAAGAAGAGTAAGCAAACAGTAAGAGTTGAGTTGAGAAGAAGGTATGTTGTAAGGTCTCTGGGGGAAGGGATATGTCAGTTTTGCTTCCTGTGATGAAGAACCTAGCATGCTTCCAGGTGCTCAAAACTCAATATAGGATATGAGGGAGTGGAGGAAAATTAAAGCAGAGATATAGACGGAAGTGACATTTTGTGGGACATTGAAGGAGGGGGCAGAGGTACGAGAAGAAACCAGTAAAGAGTGATTTGAGACCGGGTCAGAGCAATGTCAGAGAAACTACTTCCAGAAGTGGCACTCGGCATAGTCTGGAGAAATTTAATAAATTTTCTCTTCATATTTCAATTATTTTCTGAAAGCAAGGTGCATTCTCATTTGTTGATATAACCATTAAAACATGTTGATTTACAGCTAAATCGAGCCTTTATATAAGATTTGGTACATCTTTTTGCTAAGTACTATAACTATTACATAATTGCTTTAAATGTATACTTATTATTTTCAGATTTTTAACTGTGCATTATTATGTTAGAAAATGGTGAATGAATATTGCTTATTTACTAATTTTTGTTTGCTCATGATTTGTGTCAAGCTGTATTAGGATGGTAACTATAATTTATTTAAACACACAAACAGCATATAAACTTTATTTTTAGGAAACCAAATCCTCTCCCTCCTCATTTTTACTCATAGACTAGAAGAGAGAGATAAGTTTTGCTACTTTTTCAACTTCCAGTTAGTTTCTCAACTTAGAATGAATTAGTCCAAATGAAGAAAATCATCTTTCTCTGCCTTCAGAAGAGGTTACTTCTGTCACAAGCTGGTTTAATCATCTAACAAACTATGGTTCCAGGTGCTTAGCTAGGGATTTCCATCGGTTCAGAGGTGTGACTTTCTTTAAAACCTCATCAGCAAACGTGTACTGCTTGAATGGTTTGCCTCCAGTCCTGAAATGTATTATGATTGAAGCGTGATTATTAGATTTCCATGTCATAGCAGCATCTTCTATAACAATGAGGCATCTATCCTGGTACTTTGGGTTGAGACTTGGCAAGAAAATGAGGTGGAGTATGTGCTTGAGCCATCTGCTGCTTAACTGCCTGCAGTATAATGTTGTTGTTGGGTAACTCTTGAATGGCTCTGGCAATTCTTCTGAAATTTCAGGAGCAACAGCAGTACAGCAGGAATCTTTCTGCAGCTTGCAAAGGCTATGGAAATAGGTTTCAGTATATTCATTGTATCTTCTACATTTCTCTTTACTCCAGTGTTGACTACTTTGGCTATGATAATTCCATCTGTTTTGTCACGATTTTTTTCACAGCTTGTTATTGTGACAGATTTTCGTTACCAATCTGCCTGGGGCCACAGTTGATCAGGCTGGGGCCACAGGATCTTTTTGGGGAGGAGATGACGAGGCACACCAAGTGTCTAAATTTTAAAGCTTTATTAATAAAATTAATGTAACAGCGGAGAGTGTTGGAACACTCCCACGTCACTCAGAGGAAGAAAGAAAGCGTTAATGCCCCAAGCCCTAACCCACTTTCATACTCTCACACGCAAGACCCAGACTGGCCAAGTCTGAGTGTAACGCCAGAAGAAGAGGTTTGGGGGGGGGGGAAGGTGAACGGGAGTGCTGTCCTGGGCCCAGGCCATCCAAGGATCTGCTGTGCTCTCCAAATTGCTCCAGCTCTCAGGAGGGTTTTAAGTTCTGGCCCCTCGGGAGGGGCGGGGGCGTTGGCGTTCCATTTGGGGACCTCTGCTCCTGGTGCCCTCCGTGCCAGTCCAAGCCGGCTGTCCATGGGTTCTTTAGCTTCCCAAAACACCTCGGCTTCCGGGACTCAAGGCTTGGCTCCATCTCGCCAGTGTTTTCCATCTCTGCAGTCTTAGACTTAGTTGTCTTCTGTGCTGACCTTGCTGTCTTGCAGATTTGTGCAGTTGAAATCTTCTTTCTCACGGCTGCTCGGGCACCTGCAAGCCCCCGTCTTTCTCGGCCGTCAGCTAAGTCTCGGCTGTGAACAGTGTCCTTGGGCGGGGGCCAGCATCTTTATCTTCTCACTGAGCTAGCGCTCCAGGGTTGAGTTCACTCATTCTCTGCTCTGTTCTTCCTCCTCCTCCCCTGGCCTCTTGTATTCTGCAAAGGAACCTTCCACTCTCCACTCACACACCTTTGACCCTCCCCAAAATGCTTTGTGATGCTTGCAACAGTGTTAGCCACATACAGTGCCAATCTGCCTTCCCTGGAGAACCCCTGAGATTGTGACATTGTCAGAATAGACCAGAGCTTAAGTAGCTCAAAACAGTCAGCCACTGAATTCCATCATATGTCTTGGGCAGAGAATTAGTTTGCATCCTCCTGTTCTTTCCAGTGAAGTTGAAGCCAAGTCGTTGTTACCAGAAGTATTTAGCAATTTCAACATTTTTCTTTCTTCCTGGAGTTGTACTGAAGAGGTCTTTGGCTAAAAGATGCATCAAATGAGCATTGCGCCCCTGTGTTGTAAGTTTCAGGTTTCCCTTTACCTCATTCTAGATGTCTTCTCATCTTTGCTACATTTGCAGCATTGTCTGTGACAAAACTACACACTGGAATTTTTGTTTAGTTATAGCTTTTACTGCTGCTACTTTTAAGTATTCTGTATGGGCATCTCCAGATGTCTCAATTGTTTCTGTAAGATAGACAATCCCATCTTCTGTTGTTACACAGTGATCCAATAATAAGTGCTTCTGTTTGTTGCTCCACCCATCAAGACTCCTATTAATGAATTTCCTATCATAGTTTTTTTTTTGTACACCGTACAATTTCCTTATCAGATATTGTATCCAGCAACCTTCCAGCAATGTTTGCTCCACTGGGTGGAGCATAATCTGGTTGTAATGAGTGACCAATGTTGGTGAAATGTTTGTTCTGAAGAAGATGAAAGGGAGAGTTTATTGCAATCTTTTCATCTATGGAGTCTTGCTGGAATTTGCTGATCCTGATAATGAACTCATCCACGGTTTTACTGGATAATGAAGAAAGTCTTATTCCTATTATTATTTCATTGTTCAGGTAATTTACTATTCTAGGCGCCGACTCTGTGGATGATCTGGGACTGGAGCATCCATGGAAAACAATATTGCCACAGCTGTTTGGCAGGCCCTGCCGATCAGCTGGCAGGAGGTGCGGGGGAGGGGTTGGAGTGAGGGTGGGAAGAGAGAGAGTGAGGGCCGGGTCTTGGAGGAAGAGGTAGAGTGGGGGCGAGGCCTTTGCTGAAGCATTGGTGGAGCACCCACACCGAAAAATGAGTCAGTGCCTGTGATCTGAGGTATGTTGAGTTGCAGCACTGTTCATAATTTGAGAACTCTGCCAATCAGAGCTCCTGTAGGAAGAAGCTAGAAAATAGAAGTATGAGACCACCCGGGTGTAGGGTGACCAGCCCTCCTTAATTGGGTGGGACATTTCAAGTCCTGGTCCCAGACTGAATGACTACAGGACAGCATTTGTCTTGGATTCCCTTTGGCACCACTCTGCTCCTGCCTGTGGCTTAGGGGTGGCAGCAATCTCTTCCCAGTCAGGGGGTTGAGGTGGGCGTTAGCACCCCTAGCCAGGAGGTGCCCCCCCCGCTGCTGCTCCTCCTCCTCCTTCCCCCAGGGGGAAGAGGAAGAGCAGGAGTGGGATCACAACTGGGGTCAGGGCTCCTGCATGTGTCCTGTTCTTGCATTTTGAAAAGGTGGTCATCCTATGCACGTGGGCTCAGTAGATGATCCTGATGAGATAACTGATGGTGTCTTCTGGAAGCAGGGGCCTGGTTCCAACAACTGTGATGAATTTGCCAGTCTGTTGCACCCAGTACACAGCCCCTAGGTCCCCCACAGGATCAAGTCCTTAATATAGTATATGATCTATAGTATCATATTTAGAAAACTTGACCTCTGAAGTTAGATGTTTTTCTCCTGATTATTTCTTTATATAGATAAGCAGCCTTTAATTCAGTGTTCTGTTAGAGGCGTATGGATTCAGCATATTTATTTTTATTTAAATATTTTAAGAGCTTATTATACATTTAGGTCTTAACATATTTTGTAGTAAATTCAGATTTCTTTTTAAACAGGCTTATTTTTTTAAAGGAAATACTCTTTATAATTTAAATAACAGAATAAAAAAACTCCAATTTTAAATAAAATCAGATTCCTTTTCCTCCCCACCCAGAAAAAAATCATTGATTTTTCTCTACCCTGGTTAGGCAGTGTGCAAATACTCATCCATTCTCCAGCTCTGTAGAAATCTATCTATAGTCTCACATTATTAATTAATATAGTTGGTGTGTGTGAATCATCCTCCTGCCTCATTCTGACTGGGTAAGTAGCATGTTTTAATGGTGCTAATCCCAGGAGAGAATCTTGCAGTAAAAACAGTGATTAAATCTGCATTGGCAGACTGTAATTTACATACTAGTTATAAATGCACATGTAAATGAAGTGTGGGGAGGGACGAGCTCCTCTCCTGCCATGTCCTCCATATATTTTCCAGCTGGAAAATGAAGATGAGTAATTTTGCAACTCTGCTCTCGTAGCATCACTGTGTTGGATTTTAAAATGAAGAATGATAAGCGTGAGTAAGATCACCTGCTTCTTATTATTCTCTTACCTGTAATGATTAACCACCACATGGCTTCTTCAGCTGTAGAACCTTGTGGTATTATAACACTTCAGTATACGGGATTAACAAATAATATGGTTGTACTAGCTGAATAGGTTACATGTTGCATCAAGCAGAGTAAATGCAGTTAGCTAATTAATGCTCACTAATCTAATTAATCAGTGTACTGCTGACCTTCCCTGTTACATTCTTTTCAGGGCTGCTTTTGAAAATCTTCCACCAAGAATACTTGATCTTTTCAGCATAGATTTTAAAAAAAAAATTTTGTTTTTGTTTTTTTGCAGGAGAAGTCATAATATCCACTTATCCCAACGAAAATGGCCTTTAGCAATTTGACATCAAAAGCTGCACTGCTTTATGATGAATGGATTAAAGGTGCTGGTGAGTCATTAAATCCTAATGTCCGCTAATGTTAAGGCTTTTCAACAGATGTGGAGTTGTGTTAAGCATAATTTTGTATTGCTAACTTAAAATAGCATTGTTTTCCTCTAATTACACCTAAGTTGTCAAGCTAAATGTTCACATGTCTAACTGTAAAGAAAAGTAGTATAATGTCATGCAGACTTTAGAGGTGTAACTTTTGCAATTACAAAAGTTGATTTGTTAAGGATTTAAAACTTCAGGCACTACGGCATGGTCTACACGGGGGCGGGGGGTGGCGATCGATCTAAGTTATGCAACTTCAGCTACGTAAATAACATAGCTGAAGTCGACGTACTTAGATCTACTTACCGCAGTATCTTCACTGTGGTAGGTCGACTGCTGACGCTCCCCCGTCGACTCCGTCTACGCTTCTCGCTTTGGTGGAGTACCGGAGTTGACAGGAGCGCACTCGGCGGTCGATTTATCGCATCTTCACTATACATGATAAATCAACCCCCGCTGGATTGATCGCTCCGGAGGTAAGTGTAAATGTGCCCTATGTGTACAGAATGGCTCTCCTAAAAAGATCTCTACTATCAGCAGAATTGCACTTTACATTTTGAAATTCTACTGGGACAGTCTAAAACTTTAATTTTATTTAATTATAAATGGAGTTACATTTTCTTAGTTAACTGAATTAAAGTATTCTGTTACAAAGTGATGTATTTTGCTCTTCCTGGTACTAAAGTAGCAGGTGAAAGAAAATGTAAACCTTGATAATTTATCGTTGTATGTTGCAAACTCCTGTAAGTGATTCACTGCATCAAGTTCCTGTTTTTAAAGGGGATATTCATACTCTCACAAAGTTCAGGAAATAAGTATATAAATCATTCTGTGGTTTACTGTGAATGTTTTATAGTGCTGTATATCTGCTTAGTTCCTATTCTGAACTTGTAGGTGTTGAATAGCCTGACTTTTCATAATTCTGTAGCTATGGAACTAGATGCAGGCAATGGAAAATGCCATGGCTGTAGAGCATATGTTGCCTTGAACTGGACAAATATGGTGAAATCTGAACAGAAATTCACTGTAAATATGAATGGCTGAAAGATGCTGCACATCTGAGACTGGAATGAATGAATCATAGAATCATAGAATATCAGGGTTGGAAGGGACCCCTGAAGGTCATCTAGTCCAACCCCCCTGCTCAAAGCAGGACCAATTCCCAGTTAAATCATCCCAGCCAGGGCTTTGTCAAGCCTGACCTTAAAAACCTCTAAGGAAGGAGATTCTACCACCTCCCTAGGTAACGCATTCCAGTGTTTCACCACCCTCTTAGTGAAAAAGTTTTTCCTAATATCCAATCTAAACCTCCCCCACTGCAGCTTGAGACCATTACTCCTCGTTCTGTCATCTGATACCATTGAGAACAGTCTAGAGCCATCCTCTTTGGAACCCCCTTTCAGGTAGTTGAAAGCAGCTATCAAATCCCCCCTCATTCTTCTCTTCTGCAGGCTAAACAATCCCAGCTCCCTCAGCCTCTCCTCATAACTCATGTGTTCCAGACCCCTAATCATTTTTGTTGCCCTTCGCTGGACTCTCTCCAATTTATCCACATCCTTCTTGAAGTGTGGGGCCCAAAATTGGACACAGTACTCCAGATGAGGCCTCACCAATGTTGAATAGAGGGGAACAATCACGTCCCTCGATCTGCTCGCTATGCCCCTACTTATACATCCCAAAATGCCATTGGCCTTCTTGGCAACAAGGGCACACTGCTGACTCATATCCAGCTTCTCGTCCACTGTCACCCCTAGGTCCTTTTCCGCAGAACTGCTGCCTAGCCATTCGGTCCCTAGTCTGTAGCTGTGCATTGGGTTCTTCCGTCCTAAGTGCAGGACCCTGCACTTATCCTTATTGAACCTCATCAGATTTCTTTTGGCCCAATCCTCCAATTTGTCTAGGTCTTTCTGTATCCTATCCCTCCCCTCCAGCGTATCTACCACTCCTCCCAGTTTAGTATCATCCGCAAATTTGCTGAGAGTGCAATCCACACCATCCTCCAGATCATTTATGAAGATATTGAACAAAACCGGCCCGAGGACCGACCCTTGGGGCACTCCACTTGATACCGGCTGCCAACTAGATATGGAGCCATTGATCACTACCCGTTGAGCCCGACAATCTAGCCAGCTTTCTACCCACCTTGTAGTGCATTCATCCAGCCCATACTTCCTTAACTTGCTGACAAGAATACTGTGGGAGACCGTGTCAAAAGCTTTGCTAAAGTCAAGAAACAATACATCCACTGCTTTCCCTTCATCCACAGAACCAGTAATCTCATCATAAAAGGCGATTAGATTAGTCAGGCATGACCTTCCCTTGGTGAATCCATGCTGGCTGTTCCTGATCACTTTCCTCTCATGCAAGTGCTTCAGGATTGATTCTTTGAGGACCTGCTCCATGATTTTTCCAGGGACTGAAGTGAGGCTGACTGGCCTGTAGTTCCCAGGATCCTCCTTCTTCCCTTTTTTAAAGATTGGCACTACATTAGCCTTTTTCCAGTCATCCGGGACTTCCCCGGTTCGCCACGAGTTCAGATTAGTACCATAGCTTTTTTACCATCATCAGTGGGAATTGGGCACAGCTGTGCCAGGGGGCTAGTTGAAAGTGAATGGAGATGCTAGCCCAGAGGATAGCTCTGATGGACCAGAGAAGGAGGATGAATCTCCAGAAGTGGATGATCAGGATGAGAACAAGGAGTTGATAAGGACAATGTAGGCAGAGCAACTGGAAGACTACAGACCTAGAGTGGGAGAAAATTTATTTGGAGCCAGGGGTGTCACAGAGTGAGTTCTGCTTCAGCCTAAAAATACACCATGAAGTGAAGATGCAGATACCGCACCAAGAGAACCTAATAACATGGTAAACTAACATGGAAGCTTCTCGTCTAACACTCTGACTTCTGCAGTGTTAAGATGGCAGCCTTATGTAGGATTTTGGGTGGGTTAGTGGAGATTTCTAATTCTCTTTTGAGCAGTAAGGTTTTAAGAGTGTATATGGTTTGTCAGGTTCTGATTGTGTGTACTGAAATTTAAAACTGCTTTGTTAGGAAACAAGACAAATAAAATACTTGAATTAAAACTTGAGCCCTTTAACAAGTGGTTGTGTGGGTCCCCGAAGGAGATGACCAAGACCGGGTCTCCCTGCTAATGTTGTTGTATAGTGCTTGTGTTAGGGTTTTGTTCTGCTGCCCGTCACTGGAATAGGGGTACACTAAGGAGTTAATTGATCTCCCTCAGGGATCAATTAGTGGGAAGGAGCTGGTGGAGTGGGCGAAAGGGAGTGGCTTGTTGTGAGGGTGTGGTGATCTCCTTACAGTTCTGATTACTTATCTAGTGTTTGTTTCTGTATAGCGCCTAGAGCACTTGACTAATGCTTTGTAAATGTGAACAAATAAATTAGAGAATTGAGCAGTTCTTTTAAAACATTGCAACAGTAAGTTGAAGGTCTGGATTCGTGACTTCACTCCAGTAATATGGCAGCAAGCCACAAAAGCAGCAGAATACTAATTCAAAAGCCATGTTGGTATTTTTCAAAACCTAACCCCCCCCCCCAAAGGTAATTGGTAAAAGCAGGGGTCCAGAACAACTAACCAGGTGACTACGCTTCCCAGTGAGGAAGAAATAGTCAAGACTTCCAGATCTCCATGATGATGTCACTGTCAAAAGCTTGAATGTAGCTCCAACCAATGTGAACTGTTAATGAGGGAAATGGGGCTTGTATGGAGCAACTCTAGACACAGCACTTAACATCCTTGTAAGCTACCTGGGGAGGGAATCACAGCATTTTCTCCATATGGATAATTTTAATGTGAGTTCTCCCTGTTTACCGCGCAGACTCAACTCTGGACCTACCAATCCCTGCACAAAACCAGATATTTCTGAGAGAAGGGTGGGGACAACTTTCAGGAATTGTAAGATTTAACAGGCACTATGTTATGGCTCTCCAAGTGGTAGGGAGTAGGTCAAATCATCTGCTTAAAACTTCCAGGTTTAAAGCCATTCTCCAAACTAGTAACCCAAGTATGATTAAACACAAGAAGGGACAAGGTTCTTAAAAATAGGGGCATTTCCCAATTTACAATTTGAAGTTCTTTAAGAATGTTCACATTTTCCCAAAAGAGTTTAATTTCACTCATATGCAGCCTGGATTAGTTGCTTGCAAGACCTCTTCCTCTTTTTGCTTTTGAACTACATAGTCTTGTGACAATACATACTTTCCATGGGGTGGAGATTGAGGTGAGTGGTGGGTGTCAGACCCAATCTAGCACACAAGTCTGAATGGATGTTGGAGGAGAGTGATGATGTGAGACACACTTTTATCAGCATGGAAACCCTGCTTCTAAAGTTTTTTTGTCAAAACTTGGGCTCCAATTGACAGCATCCAATAACTGGAGTTTTCATCCCAAAGACAACCAGCAAACAACCTTGAAAGTCACTCCATAGCCAGATTAATTGGAAGCCCTGCTGATCCCCACTAACCAAAACCTTTGCTGGGAAGACTGTCGCACCAAGAGAGGGCATCGAAAATGTCTTAGAAGGAACGCTACAAATGTATGTGCAGAGGACATAACTCTGTGTGCCAGATGAGTTTAAGGGGTAACTTCAAGTGAAACGAACTCCATAGACCAAGGGCGGGGGGGAGGGTGAACTCTGCTTACCATCTATGGATGAATAAATCTGCAGAGTATACCTGTTAATAGATTTCTGTTGGTTTTTATTTTGGCAAGGGAGGAGTATGTGAAGGATGACTCTATCTGGGCAAATAGCTTTAGAATTCCATATGAGTCTGTTGGGCAAGGGTTGCTTAGCCAGCATGGCCAGAATTTTCTTCAAGGTTTGGACTGAGAATTGCCTGACGGTGCATATGAGATTGGAAGTGGGGAATTAGGCAATATCCTTTAATGACTATCTGTACTAATGTGTGGGACAGAACAGTCAATTGTACCTGAGAGGATGATGTGGTGCGCAGTAGAGGTGAGCACGTGTGTAAACTTTAAGTGTAAGATTTTTGTGCCTGGTTAATGGTGCAATTTATAGTATTAGTGTAGCTGAGTATATATTAATGTTTTTCTCTACGTTGCCAATAAAATGTCCTTAAACTGAGAATAAATCACTGCTAGTTGATGAATGGAAAGAAATTGACCTCTGGTCTCCAGAGATTGTGGTCAAGGGCAGCAGCGGCTTTAATTGCTTACCTTGAGTGGTATTCCAAAAAATCTGGCAAGGACCAATGTTGGTTTACGAAGAGGCTAAGAACCCTGGAGGCACTAAATCTTGTTAAAGCAAGTTATAAGAACCTGAAGCTAATAAGTGATTCTAAAACCTGAGCAGTGAAAGCAGAAACAATTTAAGAAAATAATTTAATCAAATTTAATCAGGAATTTAAGAAAAGAATATCCTTGTTAAGTTAATGTAGATGTAAAAAGCATTATGAAATACCTGTGACTTTTCCCCTTCTTCTAGATCCAAGAGTGGAAGGCTTCCTACTCATGTCTTCACCTGTGCCACAGACTATTATCATTGGAGCCTATGTTTATTTTGTCACTTCTTTGGGACCAAAACTCATGGAAAACAGAAAACCTTTTGAACTCAGGCAAATAATGGCATTTTACAATTTTGGTGTAGTAGCCCTTTCAGTGTATATGACTTATGAAGTAAGTATTTTTCTATAAATACTTTTTTAACTTCAGCTAGCTCAGCTACTATTATGTAATTTTTTGGATATGGTAATAGCAACATTTAGCATAATAGATTAGAGAGAACCTCTAATTACAGATATAGTTAGACACAAAAAAGAAATTTAACAATGACTGTAAATGAAAGTTGAACACAGTCAAGAGGGTGATTGTATATTTTATATTAGAAAGACCATAATAGAACACTTTAAAACAGTGGTTCTTAAACTTTTGTCCCTGGTGACCCCTTTTACATAGAAAGCCTCTAAGTACGACCCCCCCCCCACCCCCTTATAAATTAAAAACACTTTTTAATATATTTAACACCAATATAAATGTTGGAGGCAAAGCAGGGTTTGGAGTGGAGGCTGACATCTCACGACCCCCCATGTCATAACCTTGTGACTCCCTGAGGGGTCCCAACCCCCAGTTTGAGAACCCCTGCTTTAAAGTCTGGAAAGTATTTAGATGGTTAGTTTTTGAACTTCTTTGGGTGAGGAAAGTTGAACTAGACTGGCAGGTTGCATGCTTTGTTTATAGTCTTTTACTTTTTTGGCTGCCACATGATAGAATATGTTGACATCTTTCACACTGCACAGGGAATATTTACGTGCAAGATCCTCTTCAATTAGTTTTTGGTTTTCAGATTGCACAATCACACTTTCCTAATGTTGTAAATGATACTTCTATTTACAAAATTTAGTCTAGGGTCTCAATCCATATAAAACAAGGTTTTTAGAATAATTAATAAAATCTTTCCTAGAAGAGTTCTGGGGTGTTGTTTTTCCCCCCCTCAACTTGTGGCTCAACAAAAAGCCAGGCTTTTTAGGAGAAAAGAACATTTTTATTAGACCGTGATCAAGTGAGATGCATTGGGTTTAATGATCGAGAAAATAAATTATTATATGTACATGGTGTGCACCTACACATAGTCATTTAGAGTTAACTCTTAAACTGGCATTTCTTTAAGTGTCTAAAGAGACTAAATTGGGACACTGTTGCAATAAACAGTGTGGATACTCAGCAATACTACAAGCAGCTGCCTGATAGTTTTCTACAACTGGCCAGCTGAAACAACACTATTGTGGTAGCTATTTTCATCTTTGGCATACTGGTTAGGGAATTGTTCAGATACTGCTGCCAAATTGGCTGTACTTCAGTTGACCCAGTTCCCATAACCTTCATAATGGATTAGACTGAGCTTTTGCTTTTAAAAACAGTGCTCCAAGATCTTTACATTTGTTGTTTAAAAAGAAACTGATGCATTGGCTAATAATTGTTGTGCAAATACCGTAAATGCAAAGAAGGATGAAAAGCATGCTTTCCTTTTGCACTTCCTGCTTCTACAGATCTTGTTAGTATTGTGCTTTTTTAGGAGTATTTAAAAAAATAAACACTTGCCTCTTTCACTTTTGACGCTAACATATTTGATTTGCCGATCATTAAGCCTTTATTTAAAATGCTGCAAAAGAATGCACAGATACTGTATACCAGATTGGATATAAGCCATTTTGTGGGTGTGTTGGGATTATGTTCACTTACAATGTTTGAAATCCTGTTGGTTTCGGCGTCTGATTTTGTTAAATGGATAATCTTTTAATTGTCTTATTCAAGTGATGTTTGATTGAAACTACAACTCTTCACCTACCAGGAAAACTTGGTTTCCTGTTAATCATGCATGGATAATTATGATTAATTAACGAATACTCATTCAACACAAGTGGAGTTTTTATAGTATTGGCTGGGATTTGGGGTGGGAGAGGAAGAGAGAAGACGCAAATGAAATATAATATTTACAGTGCTACTCTTGGCTGAGTTTTAATATAGTAATAGAAGGAGTATTAGATGTGACGCCTCTTACAATCCATTGATACTGTACATCTGCATGTGATCTGAAGACAGCTCCCCATTTCTTCTGACAGTTATAGTCTAACTTGCATCACAGAGTAAATATTTTTGACAAGAAATGGAGATACTTATGGTACCAAATAAAAGAAGTCCAGTGCTGATTCTTCTCTAGCCTCAAGCCCCTTCTGTGGGCTACAGACAATCAAACTCATTAAAACAGTTGCTGAAACAGAGGTTGTATGTGTATACACTAAAGTTCAGCTGGATGTTGTAAATGGAGGTGGGGAAAACCCATGGCAGAACATTATTTACTTTGGTTAAAACTTTTTTTGGATTGTCTTTTATGGTCTTTTTGTCCCCCTTTATGGACTTGTTGCAAATAGATCTAAGAAACTATGTGCAGTTCTACCTGGCATGTGAATTGGCCAAAATCATTAAGTGCATAGGGGACCTCTGGCAAACATAAAAATTGCAGTTCTAATTCTATGTGGACATAGTAACTTCTAATGAGCCCAAAACGCTTTGGATGTTAATTCTTGTTGTTAGGATTTCCTCATCATGGTGTGATATTATTTTATTACACTGTTGGTCAGTCACAAATACATGGTGAACGGGCTAAATTGTAATACAAAGACTTAATTAGCTGAATTCCCTGGTCCTGCATATACTGTGTTTCCATTTGTAGAAAATCTATGAAGAATTGAATTACTTAACTTCTAAATAATAAAAGTGTGGTTCTGTGTTAGTACTTGACCCTTTTTTTTAAAAGTGTCTTATGTATTGAAATGCCTGGATTCAATACCAATACTCACTTTTTTGGGATAGTTTTTGTTTCAATCACCTGCTTCCCATAGTGGGAAGAGAGACACTGATCTAAAGTCTGTTCAGGGGAGCAACTATTTCTTCTCTTGTGGCACTGAGGGTTAGGTACCCTGAAGTGGGTATAGTTGGGTTTCTCATCCATATTGTCAAGTTATGAGATTCAAATCTCTCTACAGTGCTACAGCAACAGAGTTTTTTATAGTGTTGCCATCCCACATTGAAGTAGATAATAGCTGACAAGCTGACTGAATTCACAGGCTTTTCTTAATCATTACATGATTATTAAGGTCAACTGAAATTAATGAATTTTCTCAAGTGATCAACTAAATCTCTCCTCTCCCCCTTCTCCTTGTTACAGTTTCTTATGTCTGGTTGGGCCACAGGTTATTCGTTCCGATGTGACCTTGTTGACTACTCCAGGTCACCTACAGCTCTGAGAGTAAGTAACCAAATGAAGCTAATTGTTATGCTACATTAACTTTATATTTTTGAAATGCTTTTAATGAAAATGCCTTGATGCGTAATGAAGAGTATGTAAGTGACTATAAAGGGTGATGAAAGGGATGTTGGAGGCAACCTGTGCTAGCAAGGTGGTTTGATTTTAAATCAGTGACTTAAATCACCAAGTGGAAGCCTTGATTTAAATCTTCAATATTAATCAACTTTTCTATTTGTTGTTCAGTTGTTTTCTAAAGGTACATTTTCATTGCTTCATGTAACCCTTAAAACATGTTGATTTACAACTAAATAGAACCTTTATGCTAGATTTGATATATCTCTTTCTACCTAGGAGTACATAAGTTTGTAAACAAAACAAGCCCTTTATACATTACATGATGTATTGTGCCATATTTATAAAGCTTGACCTCAAAATCAAATGTTTTTCCCCAGATTGTTTCTTTTTATGGAAAAGCAGCTTTTAACTCAAAGGTTTTGATAGAGACTCATGGATTCAGCATATTTATTTTTTTTTATTCAAATATTTTAAGAAGTTATATGAAGTGTTGACTTGACATATCTTATGTGACATTCAGATTTCATTAAAATGGTTTATTTTAAAAAAAAAATATTTTTATTTATCCAGTGTGTTCGCTTATTCAGTTCAACATTTTAAAGTTCCCTGATGCTGAAAAGGCATTTGTTTTGCTTCCTTGTTTTTAAAGAAAACCAACAAAAATTAGACTGATGTTCTAATGACTTCATTAGACTTGACCCTGTGTATTTTTTGGATTTCTTAGATGGTTCGGACTTGTTGGCTGTACTACTTCTCCAAATTCATTGAATTATTAGACACTGTAAGTATGTAGTGACTCAACTTGGTAAAAATACTGTGATCTCCATAGAAAAAAAAGGACACTGGTGTTTATAGCAGTTGGATCACACAGTAGTTTTACTCTGTTTGCTTACTAATCAGACCTCATATATTCATTCAACAAAATCCGTTAGTAATGGAGAACAGTGAGAGCGGAGAAATGTTTCAGGCATTTCTGTACCACAAACTTTTAAGCATATCTCCCCATTAGTTACAAGGGGAAGTCTCTAAAAATGATAGCATGGTATGTCTCTTTTAAACTGTCCTGGGAAATACTCTGTTAGGGTAGGTGGGCTGGAAACAAGTGCTGGTTATACTTCAAGTCTTCCTCCACTTCCTCCCCAACAACTTTCCATCCTGTTTCTCAAACGTTGGCAGTTAGGGGTATGGCATAGCCGACAGTAGCCACCTGCCTCAATTTAAAGTACCCATCCTGGCAGTCATGAGTAATAACACAATGTTAGCCTGACCACTCTGGACTGTTTCTAAGGCCCAACTCACTAGATCTCCGATCTCCTGTTGGAGGGACCAGGAATGCTGGAAAAGGAAGTTGAGTGACCTTCCTGTCATCTCTACTATCTACTGACTGGTGACCTTGAATTAGTCCTGGACCTGAAAAGTTATTTTCTTCTTCTGAATCTTTCTAGTTGTATACTTGCCCTTGTGCCTTCTCATTATTTAGGTACCTATATCTCAGCTTCTTTTTAGTTTGATTGTGGAAGTTTAATTGTTTGGAACTTTGGCAACATTCTAACATGTTACTATTGTGCTGCTTAATTTACTGTTTCTAGCCATATGAAAACAGTTTTGTATGTATGTTTTCTCTGTCACATCTGACCACTCTATTCCCCTCTTTCTGGGTGCCATCTTCTATCTGCTCTTGCCATCTGACTCTGCTCTTCTCATTCCCACATTTATTCCCATCTATTGGATTCTGCTTTTAGAATGTTTTTGCCCTTTTCTCCCTTAACAGTTTTCCTCAGCAGATTGATGGACATTTACTATGGCAGCACTATGTCCATAGAGAATATCCACGTTCAACCCTCTCAATACTATCCCACCTTCCTCTTCACATCTTTGGGCAGTTATTGTCTCTGTAGTGCTTTTAACATGTCAAGCGCTAGATAGTCTTTCTTTAGTTACATGATGGTTCTGATTTAATCTTTTCTGCCTTCTGTGTACCTCTTCTGTGCCTTAAATTCAGATCTTTAAATCATCCTGTCTTTTCAGTTGCCTCCGATACTCTTCTCAACCTGTTCTACTCAAACTTCAAGAGGTCTAAAATACTCTGGCTGGACAGTTCGGTCCTGGAATTGGGGCCATCTTTCCTGCATCCTCCATCACTTGCACTGGCTTCATAGCCATCCCTGAATGTATTAAGTGCCTTTTCTGGCTTTCAGGACTCTATATGGATTTATTTCATTCAACCCTCTGAGTTCAGATCCACCTCTTCATCCTGCACACTCTCATTCCTAGGTCTTGGCCTCTTAAGTTCCTTCCCAGTAATTAGCCACCATAAAACGGATGTCACTTTGATTTAGATTGCTGCATCTGGAATTGACTTCCTTGCTAAATATGTTGAAAGCCACACTTCTTTTGCTTACAGTTCTTTCTAAACCTTGCCTACATGCTTCACATCAATTCCATTTTGAACTTAATGTTTCTCATTCATAGATCTCAAAGACTTTAAAAAGGTGAATACCATTATAACCCTAATACAGATCAGAAATTGAAGCATGGTGGGGGTACCCGGGCCTGATTTTCAGACCCTCTCTACAGTGATGAAACAGTGAACCAGTATGAATATTTTTTGGAAATATCTTGTATAGACAGTTTTGTAATAGTGTGGATGAAGAGTCCTAGGAGAGGTGGTTGTGGTCTAGTGGCTTGAGCATAGAGCTAGGAGTTGAGACATCTGAACTGATGATTAATCAGAAATGCTGGTCTTCTGCAGCTTGCATTATTTGTAGCAGAAGTTTAGATTATTCAGTGCCTTTGAAAATTAGCCCCTCAATCTGTCACTCAATTTCCACATACATAAAATGAGCATAAGTGCAAAGAATTTTAATGTACTGTATTGAGCAACCTATGTTTGTGCGTACAACTAACTGCAAACTACTTTCACATGTGACTTTTCTAATCTCTTATTCTTAAAACTATTTCAGATCTTTTTTGTTTTGCGAAAGAAAGAGGGCCAGATTACATTCCTGCATGTCTTGCATCACTCAATCATGCCGTGGACCTGGTGGTTTGGAGTCAAATTTGCTGCAGGTAGTCGAGAGCTGAAATGATACTTTACGTGTAGTGGTAAAACCTCCATACTCTAAATGAAAAACATGTTCAAATGGACACCATCAATTAAAAAAAAATTACTTTGTCATAATTTGTATCTACTAGAGTTACAAGCAATGCCCAAAGATTACTGTACCTGAACTAGATTATAAGGGAGGGGGAAATCTTCCAGTTGGCTCATTTGAAAATACTTTGTATACAGTCATTTTCCCCTGTTGCTGGGGGTGGAGGTGGGGGGCAGCTAGGGGCAGAGGGGACGGCATACCAATGGCGGGAGGTTGTGGTTTGTAAAACCCAGCAGGGGAATTATGGGGCAGGTACATTATTGAAACTACTTCAAAAAATAGAAAAGGAGTACTTGTAGCACCTTAGAGACTAACCAATTTATTTGAGCATGAGCTTTCGTGAGCTACAGCTCAAGAGCTCATGCTCAAATAAATTGGTGCCACAAGTACTCCTTTTCTTTTTGCGAATACAGACTAACACGGCTGTTACTCTGAAACCTGTCAAAAAATAGAGTAGATTTCACGTTGACATTGTCCCTTGGAACACACAGATCTAATCAGAGGGTAGAGTTGTTTTTTCATCATTGTTTCTCTCTATAACCTTAATTTTATTTAGAAATTATTTTAGTTTTTGTTGCAACTATTTCTGACTGCCCTTTGGGAGCAGAAATGTAGCCAGAGGTAATGCTGTAACTTTTCCAGAGCTAGTTAGATATAGTGATATTTGTCTGTGAAGGGCCAGCAACGTAAAAGATTTGAAAATTCGGGCCAGATAGCATCCAAATGTTTGGGAACTGGGGAAAACCTTCTGCTGTTTTTCCCTCATCTTGGTCTTTATACTCTCTTGTTACCTTAGCCTTACAAATCCCTCCACTCTCCTCAATAATCTCTCCACAGAGCAGAAATGACAAAAATCCAGAGAGATCCTTGCATAAGACGCTCGTAGAATGCGTGGTCTTTCTAACCTGGGGCTTTACAGTGTAATGGACTGAAGGCTGCATCTTGAGCTAGGAGTATGATTCCCCAGCTTGCATACATATACCTGCAGTAGCTTGATGACGCTAGTGCACATATAAATAGTAACCTTACTGCAGCCAGACAGGCAGTGTCGGGCATGGCTTGCCATGAAGAGTATAAGCATTCCTGAAAAGAGTGGGTACATACTAGCTAAACTGTGTTGTTGCTGCCCATCGTACCACAGTGACGCTACTATTTATACTCGTGCTAGCTCTCCTCAAGCTACTGTGAATGTGTACGTGAGCTGGGGAATCATACCCCTTGCTGGTATTGTAGACATAGCCTAAAAAGAGCATACAGCTTGAAACCTGCAGAGAGAATGGAAACCTGGTGGAACCCCTGGTGCTGGATTGTATTCCTAGTGGTGGTGTGTCTGGAAGAGGTTACTAGTTGAAAAATCAGTGGGGACAACAGCAGTACTTGTCTGGACATAGTTTCCTTTTCTGTAACATTTCACCCATTTTCCTTGGCATTGTTTTAGTTGCATGCATACAAAAATATGTTCTGAAAGAGGTACAAAAGCTTTGCATGGATTCCATGAAAAGTTGTCTAATGTGCAGTTAGCTAATGAAGGAGACTGCTACATTTTCACTGTATTTTGAGTCCAATTTCTAATATATAAAATATCAGGGTTGGAAGGGACCTCAGGAGGTCATCTAGTCCAACCCCCTGCTCAAAGCAGGACCAATCCGCAACTAAATCATCCCAGCCAGGGCTTTGTCAAGCCTGACCTTAAAAACTTCTAAGGAAGGAGATTCCACCACCTCCCTAGGTAATGCGTTCCAGTGTTTCACCACCCTCCTAGTGAAAAAGTTTTTCCTAATATCCAACCTAAACCTCCCCCAACTGCAACTTGAGACCATTACTCCTCGTTCTGTCATCTGCTACCACTGAGAACAGTCTAGAGCCATCCTCTTTGAAACCCCCTATAAAGAAACTCTCATGTTTTGAACTGCATCCTTTTCCCCAAATCAGTGGTACGGTAGTACTAAAATTGGAATTATCTTCCTCTGCTTACAAATCAGACCATTTTAGATCTGTTAATATAAAACACGTTAATCTGGTATTCCCAGCACTTAACAATCGTCGCCTCCCCCCCCCACCAAAAAAAAATTACATTACCCGTACTGTTAATTTCCTGCTCTTTAGTTGGGCTTCAGAACCATGTACCAGCTGTGCACTTGTTCCATGACAAGGCACCTCAGACTTAAATCTCCTCTGTAGTAATCTGGCAAATGCTTTCCACAAAGTGAGAGATCCATTTTGGCTTGAGTCAGTAATATTCCCTCATGTAATCTTAGCGTATTGTGTTTCTTTCTCAAAGCTTTATTGCCTGTCTTTAAACTAATCTTTCCAAATGTTCTCTTTGATGCCGTAAAATAATTTCCAAGAATTTCAGTACAACTGATGTTTATCTTGTATTTCATTTCCTAGTTGTTTCTTTCCTTTAAATAATGGCATTATGTGGTCTACTGCCCAGCCTTCTGAACTTGTTCTGACTCCAAATCATCCAAGTGAGTTTGTGAAGAGATGGGGATCTTCTCCTTCTTAGGACTTGACATACAGAATTGAAAACCATTTTTGTGCAGTGACTTTCTTGTGTAACAGTATTTTTGTAATGTCTAGGTAGCTGCTTTTTCCTAACGTAACTCATTTTGAGGCTTCTTCCATGAAGTTTCACTATGCGACCAAAAAAAGTAAATGCGTTAGTCTCAGAAAAGCAGTCAAATTGTTTGGGAATATGTGACCTAGAAACACAACTTTTTAGAGAGAATTTGCCATTGAAACTGATGATGGTCATTTGTGGAGGGGGAAAGCTCCACTAACTGCTCTAATCAGTACTAAAAGAAACATTTAGATTTTAAAATTAAGGCTAGTTCAAACTGGCTTTGATATCTAACTGGGCTTCCAACCAAATTTATTTTTTTGCTAAGTTTTTTCATGGACTTCTCACCTGGAAATGGAGAATGTTTTGTATTTGAATTTCCACCAAATAATCAAAATGCTTTTCTCTCTGTCTCTCTCCCAACCATTTTTTGACCAGCTATATTTAAAACTCAGTTCACTTCTTAAATATTACTCCTATGGCTAAGATAATTTAACCCTATTGGAAACTGAGCAGGAGAGAGGGTTCTGGAGAAGGAAATATCTGCATGGATCCCCTCAATGACAACAAGTTCCTTTATTATCATTCTGTTTAATGGGTTTGGTCCCAAACTTGAGGGTTGCGTGGGCAGCTAAGGTCACATACATTGAGGTCCCACACCTCTGCCCCTTGGGTCTTCCCTGGTCCTGGGAACATGGATGCTCTGGAGCTGCCCCCAGCTTTTTTAATAAAACCCTTCAAAAACGGACTTCAACAAGAAACTGCAGAACTAGAATTAATTTGCAAACTGGACACCATCAAATTAGGCATGAATAAAGACTGGGAATAGCTGGGTCACTACAAAAAATAATTTTCTCTCTGATACTCACACCTTCTTGTCAACTGTTTGGGAATGGGCCACATCCATAGGATTGAATTGGCCTCGTTAGCACTACAAAAAGTAATGTTCCCCTTCTTGTCAACTGTTGGGAATGGGCCACATTCACTCTAATTGAATTGGCCTCGTTAGCACTGACCCGACCCCCTCTTGGTAAGACAACTCCCATCTTTTCATGTGCTGTACATTTATACCTGCTTACTGTATTTTCCACTCCATGCATCTGATGAAGTGGGTTACAGCCCATGAAAGCTTATGTCCTAATAAATTTGTTAGTCTCGAAGGTGCCACAAGGACTCCTTGTTGTCCCCAGAGAGTGACTCAAAAGAATAGAGACTAGGGCCTTGAGCTGTAGTACTTTTACTAGGAACCTCTAAGGGCTAGAGGATTGCTACATGGTTGCAGCCCCTGGACTCATGAAAAGCCAATCATGGGATCTAGAAAAGAGGTAGAGCAGGAGGTGTGATGCTGCAGAGGTGTTTGAGTCCCCTTCATGTAACACACTAACAAAAAACTTACTTGCATTCAGTTACACTAATTAGACTTTTATTACAGCTTTGGAAAATTGATTTTAAAACATTGCAGCATTTTACTAGGGTATTGGCTAAAATATTTACATAAGCATTTGCTGAGAAAAGAGGGAACTGCTGAAATCCTTCAGAGTTGGTGACTACAGAGCTTAACTTGAATCTTTGTATTTTATGTGCTAGTGAAAGTTGGAGACCCCTCCAAATAGAGCCTCATGCTTTTATCTAGTTTTCTACTTAATTAACGCAAGGCAAAAACCTTGTTTGGTAGCTAGATACAGGGGTGGGTTTTTTTAGGATCACTGGTGTAACAATCTTGGACTATTTTTATTATTCTACAGGTGGGTTAGGAACATTCCATGCTCTGTTAAACTGTGTTGTGCACGTCATCATGTACAGCTACTATGGACTCTGTTCACTGGGACCAGCCTATTATAAATACCTGTGGTGGAAAAAACACATGACAACTATACAGCTTGTGAGTATTGTGTCTGAGCCAGACTTTTTGCAGTTAGTCAAGCTGTATGTGAGTGAGTTTTTAATGTCACTTCTATGAACATGGTTAAGAATTATTTTTACAATGGCACAGAAGAGTTTTACCTTCATTTTTCAACTGAGCTCAGCAGAAATCATGAGACCAGTCAACTGTGTAAATAAAATCTGTTGACCTGTTTTCCAGAGGTTCTGAGAACCCACAGTTCTCTCTGAAGTCAGTAGGAGTTGTAGGTACTCAGTGTATTTAATTGCTTTGTACTCTAAGTGTATTGATAAAGAACTATTTGTCCATTTAAGAACTGTTGGAGTATGGACTTACACTAGGAACAAAGTGTTTTTTTAAAAAAATTTGCAAAACAGTATTAAATAGAGTAACAGTTTAAATTTAAAAACAAAAGGTTACAAGGACTATTTCTTAGGATTTATCTTACTTTAAAGTAAGGTAAACATTTGGGTCTACAGAAGTTGATGATATCTCTTTTAATTTGGATTTGGCCTTCTGAAGAAATAACTGAATTATCTCAAGCATTTTTATCATAGCTATTGTAATTGTGCATTATGATTTTCATATGAAAATCTTTTTCTTAAAAAACCCTTCTAGATTCTGTGCCTCAATATTATTTGGCCCTGAGTTCTCCAAATAAATCAGCGTGTGGAAAGGGGAAAGCAAGTAAACGTTTTTTTTTAACCATTATTAACTTGGTTACCTTTTAAATTTCTTTTGGCTGCCATTTTGCTCTTGCACTGAACAAGAGTACCCCACTGATCTTCTGTTCCATTTTATATACTTTAGACGTTACCATTTTTGTTTCTTCTCTAAACTGAACAGATGTAATCCCTAACTATTAAAATCTTGTATAGGAAGAGAAGTTTGTTTATGCCTCTGCTCAATGGCCTAATACTTTTAGTTTACCACATTATCATGCAAGTAGTCAGTGGGACTAGTCAACTTAAGGGGTGGCAGAATCAATCCCTCTGAGAATATGCCACCTTGTAAATAGCTCCAGCCAGGCCTTTCCCTCTGTTTTTTTTTTATCAAGAGAATGACTGTTAGGGAGAGTTCCTTCCCTGGTCTCCCTGATATGGATCTGCTCCCCTATCCTTGCACCATGATAATGTTTATAACTTAAACAAAAACAAAAAGTTACTTCATCAAAAAAACACCTCTCCCTGGCCAAGTAGGAGAGTGGAGTTTTGCAGGACTACACAAATTCTATTTCTCACCAACCTTCTCTTTTTGTGTGTGCGCACATTATGCTGATAACTATTTAAACTTCTCTCAAGTATATCTTTTTACATTTTTAAACCTGTAATTCATAACTGAGCATATTTTTCCTTGTCTGTTTCCTCCAGGTTCAGTTTCTTATGGTTACAGTTCACATAGGACAAATCTACTTTATGGATGATTGTCCATACCAGTATCCAGTTTTCATATTCATTATTTGGCTCTATGGCTCTGTGTTTTTAATCCTGTTTCTCCACTTCTGGTATCATGCTTACACAAGGGGCCAGAGACCACCAAAGACTATGAAAAACGGAATCAGCAAAAGCAAAGATCACTGAAGCAATGTCTCATCTATATGAATGTGTACATCTCAGATTAGTAACTTGTACTACTTGACAATCAAGATATTTAGATGCACACTACAATGTGTACATTTTATATGTTTTTCCAAAACAAAGAGCTTGTATTTTTACAATAAGTTATTTGGGTTTCTGATGTTGCAGAGGGGTGCGGGAGGGGTAATTTTCTGGTTAAAGATTTGCAGGTTTTCAGCAACTTGCTGCACGTATCTAAAGAAATTTTTCTCTTTGTGCCTAGAAGAAATGAATATTTAATTGCATTCTTACAGGTGAGATGCATATAAATAAAAAGATCTTCTTTAAGAAAATGTTATAAGTACAGAATACTTTGAGCACTAAGAAAGGGTATAAAGAGCATTCATTTTAATATCATAAGATGTTGAAACTATATTTTAATTTTATTAAAATAATGAAAAATCATTGTTACATGCATAACTTACAGAGACTAAAACACATTGTTAATATAGTTAATACCTGTAAACATTCATATTTTTGTACAAACTGTACCATATTAAAGAATGTAAGTTAAATAAAACCTTGGCAGATTAGAATGTGTTTTTTAAAAAAGATGGATTTTTGGATTATAATCTGTTTTTTACTAAAATGATTTAAGTTAATGAACTTTTAAAAATGTTTGCTGTTAGTTAATTGAACATTATAATTATAAAAACTGTCTCTTGATTTAACATCCCAGTCAAAAAAATAGTGATTGATTCATTGAAGTAGAATAATATTCAAAATTGTCTGTGGATGTATTTTGATATCAGCAAATAGGAATGTTTTTACTGGGAAAAACACCATGCAATTCAACAACCAAAACCTTACTACATTTTTAGAACAGGTTTTGTGTAAAATACAAATGGCAGTTTCATTACTTTATTTTGCTGTATTCTTTCTCCTTTCCACTGCCTGTGGAAATGAATGGTGCCTAATGAGAAATTGTTTTGTATAATTCATGGTTAAGTTTCTCTGTTAATAGCACTAGTGCCTTGTTTTTGCCCTGTGGTACTAAATGAACTGTCTAAAGAGATTAGAAACTACACAGTTTTATGGAGAGGGAGAAAGGACAGATGATTGTGTAGTATAGTTAACTCTGAACTATGCAGAATGAACTGATAAGGTATCTCCAGGGACTGGTCAGGGAGACATGTCAGCTGGCTTAGTAGCAATTTATAGGACCTAGAGCTATATGCAGATAGTATCTCTCTACTTCCGTGAGATGGTCAAGGAATGACTGTATTATGCAGAACTAAACTAGGAGCTATATTCTGCCTTGAGATGCACACCATACAGCATTGATTTGTTTTTGTGACAACTCCCGCAAGTGATGGGTTGAAATCTATCTTGTACTCTGCTCTGATCTGCTGGAGTTGTGATGTTCTCTAACATGTCTTCTGACCCACCTGTTTGTATTAGTGTTTGAAGAACTCCAAAAAGGCATGTTTTGTTGTTATATGGACATGATTACCACAATAGTGTTGCAAGTGACTTCTTATAAAATAACATATCTGAGTCTTCCTTATTGAACTAATAAACCGAGATTTGCTTCTTGTCTTTCTGCCTTGTATCCCTACAATGTTAAAGTGGCATGTGGGGACTTAGTTGCTAATTGAGGACTATTAGACATACATTTCTAATACTGTTTTCTTGTAACAAAATAGATCACAATGCTGCAGTGCTTAGTTTGAATTTCTTCACTAATTTTATGTTCATCTGTGTAAAAGACCTAATACCCCAATAAGCTGTTTTTTAATAACATGATGAAAAAACTCCATCAGTTGTTTTGAAATACTGTAATAAGATATTAAAGAACTAAGATTTAAACCTATCTTCCAGCATATAGTTATTAATCTTTTAAATTAGTGTTTTATAACTCATATTTCCAAACTTGCTGGGTGAGTGAAGTTTTGATTTACTGTTTTGGTGGATTTTTTTTTTTTTTTTAAGCCCTTCATCTTGCACAAACTAGATGAATTGGCAAACAAATCTTGGGGAAGACCAAGATACACATTTGTGTTAGCACTGCCCATCTTTCTATGAGAGTAATGTATGTACAGCCACTATTTACATGGAATACCAAGTTTCCAAAAATTACTCCTCATGCCTGTTAATTCCTAGAAAAAATTTTCAGGCGCTGGTGGAGGTGGGGAAAGGGAAATAAAGCTACATTTTCCTTCTGTGTATGTGTGGTAAGGAGAGGTTGCTACTGCTTAGCTTTCTTACAGTAAAAGCCTTGCTTGGTAGCTAGACACCTGAAGAGCAAACATCCTCTACTTCAATAATTTCTTATCCACATACTGGATTATTTTTCCATATCTTATGTGGCCAGACTTTGTAGCCAGCCTCTTTGCCCCAGGAAGTCCTATTTAACCAGCAAACACAAGAATAGGTAGACAATAAGAAAAGAATGTTGCTGACCTATTTCTGGAAGGTGAGTAGTGATGCATAAAATAATCCTATCTCCTTCATGGTGTACACACTTGGCTCACCCCTAAGCAAGAGCAGAGGCAACTTCAGTTTCACAAGTCCTTTGGCCTACTTCTCTCCACCTCAAAGTTGTTGAAAGTAAACATCTGAGTTGGTAACAGTTGAAGGGGAACTCATCCTTTCAGAGGGGTGGTCCTGACTCATCCTATAGGTTTGTATGTATGTGCAGTATGTTGTAATAGTTTAAGTTATTAAATCAAATTATTCTCAAATTCACTACAGTGCACAAAACCCTTTTGGCCACTCAAAACTATAGAGCCTGATGTAGCATTTTTAGTGACTCTCCTCTTTAATAACTAGACAGGCTTCTCCCTAAGTCCAATACATTTTTGTATAAAATGAATCAGTTTGTCTCTGTGCCCAAACCATGCTTGGAAAAACTCAGACCCACTCTCTATTATGTTTTAGGTCAGAATAAGTGGGTAGAGAAAATGGAACAATCAGTATGAATGGGTGTCTATTGTTACTGAGGGAAATTTGGTTTGAGTCTTGTTTCAAAGGTTTAGCTGAGGTATTAGAGCCCTCTGCTGGATGAAACTCTAACTTTAGGAGTTTCCTGAAAACCTAGTGCTCGCACTGTCTGTACTACATAGTGTACGTGACATCTTCACTTTATAAAATAGTGGCTAAAATCCATTCCCAAAGCAGGATTAATGTCTTATTGGGAAAGGCGCTTTCTAGACATATATGAAGACCAAGCTCTTGTGCTGAAGAGTTTGCAAACTTGTCTAGATAACGTCCAAATAGGGAAGTGAGAGAAAGAACAAGTAAAACAATACTGTTCATTAGTGAAGCTAAGCAAGGCGTGTTTTAGGGTTTATTGGCCTCCTGGAAGAAAGGTGGTACTGAGAGCAATTTAGAAGAGAGGGTGAAGGCATAGAGGGCAGTAGATTAGGCCTAGTTTAAATATGACTCTCTCAATCGGGAGAAAATCTTTGAGGGGAGTTTGAGTGGCTGGTGAGGGGAGATTATTTTGGACAGCTCTGGGGTAGAAAGGTGGATGTCTTGGAGGCCAGAACTGGCTACCTGTAATAGGAGTGTTAGGAAAAAGTGACCAAGAAAAATATTTGATTGAAAAGATGGGCAGGGGAGAAATCAGCAAGCATTTGTAGATGCTATGTTATCCTTAAACAATCAGTTTCCTATTGCCAAGATTATCAGATGTAGCAAACTTTTCACAAGACTGAAAATTCTCTAAAATAGAGTGCAGCACTGGTAGCTCATAAGTGGCTCTAGGTTGTGTGCGCACCCATGAATTTTCTTAGAGTAGCAGCAGAGAATTTTAATGTAGTTTTAGTATCATTAAGAAAAAAGTTACTACTCTTCTGGCTACGAAAACAAACAAAAAGCCCCCTCAGGCACTAGTCTATAAGTCATTCCCTTGTGAGAGCCAAATTCAATATTAAACGTTGGTCCATAAACCATGCCTACAATATTAGAGCCATATACTACCCTTTCTTCACAGACCTATACTACTCTTACCAATGAGGTTTGGACATGTACTATTTGAAAGTACAAATATTGTAACTAAAATGTCAGTAAAATTTCCTGTTTGTCAGCATTACTGAGTGAGGAAAAATGGTATTAACCACCTTTAGGAGCACTGCTGTATAAATATTTAAATAGTCATTGGGTCAGAAAGAGAGGGACTGAGAATAACTCTACAGCCTGACAGATCACCCCTGACAGGAGGTGAGACAGGCCAGGTCCAGTTCCCCCTACTCCAGTGACTCTGTTTAGTTATACACATTGGAACAGCTTCAGCAGAAGATGCTGTAGGAGCTGTGCATCAGAACAGCCTGTAGTTCAGTGATTAGAGCACTCAACTGAGATGTGTGGGAGATCTGTGTTCAAACCCATTTTCCCCAGCAGCAGAAAGGAGGGGACATTGAACCTGGGTCTCCTACAATCCAGCCGAGTGCTCTGACCACTGGGCTAAAAGTTATAACAGAGGTGATAGCAGCACCTCCACCACCTCTGGCAGCCAGCTTGCGATTGAGATCCAGGCCTGAAAGTAACTTCTGAGCACACCTACGGGATTGGGTCTCACAAGTGAGCTAGGTTCTCCTTGGCCAGTCTTGTCTGGGTTCATGGATAGCACAAGGACTTAGGGGTGAGATAGACATCTGGATGGCCAGAATGAGTCAGCGCACATGCCCAGGGGCAGAAACTTAGGGTATCTCAACGCAGCAAGCAAAAAAACATGGTAGAGTCTCATAGCCCAGGTCTACAGACTTGGGCTTATGTGATGGTGCTAAAAATAGTTGTGTGGAGGTTGTGCTCAGGCTATGAACTCCACCCCCATCTGGACATGTACACAGCTATTTTGAGTGTCAGCATAAGCCCTTCAAGCCCAAGTCTGTAGACCCAGGCTCTGAGACTCGCTGCTCAGGTTTTCCGCTTGCTGTGTAGGTGTAGCCATAGGCACCTAGGGAACTTTTACAGTGGAAATTTAGGTGCTGAGTGAGTTTATGCACCTACAGTGGTAGGCAGCAGCTGCATGGTGTTTTGTGAATCACGGTGGTACCTAAAACTGGGCCTTAGGTGTGTAGGTACCTCTGTAGTCTGGTACCTTCCAGTGCTTTTGTATAGCCATCAAAGTTTTCACTGGAGGAAAGTTTCCAGGTTCCTGCAAATGATTCACATGTTATCCCGCGCTTGCTAAGCAGATGTCCTGGAGACAGTAACCAGTAGAAAGTAGAAGCAACAGCTATACACAGCCATTCAGCTAGCCACCTATGGACAAACTCCTACACCCACATCTCCCCACATCTTTTCCCCAGGGCTTCTCTTACCTATCCTCTACCAGCCCCTACACCAGCCCTCAATTATCACTAGTTCCACTCAGACACTCCCCCAAACCCAGCTGCCCTGTTTCTTGCCCTCAGTAGCCTTTTGCCTGTGCTCCTAAAATACCCTTTGGCACTCACTTACCAACAGCAGCTGCCACGTTTTGTGGTGTTCCTTGTCTACCCCTGGCACTGCTTAGAGAAAGGTGTATTGACTTGGAGCTGAAGTTTATAATCCTATACAAATTTGATGATGAGCCAATTTGAACATCATTTGCATAAAATGTCACATGGAGCTGCACAAAGCTTGGCAGTGATGTTTGGCAGTGATATTTACAATGCTGGTTCTAACTAGAACCAGCATTGTAAATACCTCTCCTGAACTCTAGATGCTTCAGAGCCTGGCCTTTTTCTGTAACTACTTCTTTTAGATAAAGACACTACTCTAGGCTGCTGAGAGAGGCATGGCTGCTGCCTGCTGCAGGCAGAGACTTCCCATTCTCTCTCTCACATTTCTGCCTGTGCTGGCCATGTTAACTCATTCTCTCCTCCACTTCTGTCCCATGGGAGCAGTAGGTGCTATACTGCTCTCCCAGGCCTTACCTAGATTAGGGTAAACCAGAGGTGAAAGTGGGCTGGTATGTTGTACTGGTAAGACGTGGGCGCCGGGACCAGCCTGTACACAGCAGATGTTAAAACACTGCCGCAGCCGTGCTTTAATGTTGCTGCTCCTTTTTCCCCTCCCTCCCACCAGGGCCACTGACCGGAGCGGGCGAGGGGAGAGGGCAAAAGGGGTCCCTGCCCCAGGGTCTGGCTATTTAAAAGGGTCGATGGCTCCCGGCCACAGCCGCTGCTATCATGGCAGCGGCTGGAACCCCAGGCCCTTTAAATCACAACCAGAGTCCTGGGCAGTGCAAGCCGGGCACTGTGGAAGGGCCGGCTGGGGGAGGCTGACCCCAGCCCCACCCCTTCTGCCCAAGGCCCTGCCCCTTCCAGGGGCCCAGAGCTGGGCCCCCATACCAGTAACTCTTTTATGTTACTTCCACTCCTGGATAAAACATGTGTTGCTAGCATATGTTAGAAAAGTCTAGTGTAGACAAGGCACACCGCTCAACTGGTGGCATTAAAACCCATAGGGGAGTTGTATTAATTTAATTTGAATATATGGGCCCAAAGAGTCAAAGGTGTTAACATGACCCTGCAACTGTCCAACATTAAACAGTTTTAAACAAGGGTTGGGGTTTGGTACACAGAGACCTCAGCCTGCTTAATCCCATGGCAAACACACCATTAAAAATCTTTTTAACCCTTTATTAAAATACAAGAAAAAAGGAAAAACCAGTTAAAGCATTTCAAATGTAAAGTATTAAATAAGGCTTTCATTTTAACAACATGCTTTGTTCCTTTTCTCTCGAGCTGAAGAGAGCTTTTAGAGGGAACCCACTATCTGATAGTCTCTTGGATGGCTAAAAGGATGGTACTAACCACAGGCGAAGGAATATGTCACCCTACACACAAAGGTACCTTTTAGTTCATGCCAGCAGAGTCTACG